CCCCCAAAACCCGTGCCCCAACTGAACCCGCCCCAGGAGGCCCCAGGACAGCAGTCCTGTGCCAATGAGCATGGCAGAGGAAGCCCCAGGAAGCCCAAGGGAGCCAGCCTCCTCCACCCTTTACCTTGGTAGGTGACAGGACCGCCGGAGGCGCCACCGGTGAGGTCAGAGGCGGGGTGGGAACAATGGGCGCCGCCAGGGGCGTCTGCGCAGGCGTGCTTGGTTCGCTGCTGCTCATCTCGCCGGCCGAGGCAGAGGCCGAGCCCGAGAGCCCTGTCGTGCCGCTGGACGCGGCGGAGCCACTTGCGCGGGTGGGCTGGAAGGAAGCAGTTGGGGAGAGAGAGAGTCAGGAGCGCTTCGACCAGGTTGGGCCCAGAGGAAGCCCTTGGATGCCAATGGCTCTGCACCCTCTGTGCAGTGCCACCAAGGGGCGGGCCTCTCTCGTTTCTCCATGTAGCCTGGAACGAAAGCTGGGATTCAGCGGCTCGGGGCTTCCCACACACATCTGAATGCCCCTGCAGGACTGGCGCAGCTGGGAACAGAACAGGGGCCTGTCTTCATCCTCCCAACTCTGGCTGCTGCAGCTGAACCCGGGGGGGGGGGCAAGCCAGAGCCATCACCAGGAAGCGCCTCCTGTCCAGAGTGGGGGCCGAAAGAGGGTCTGGGGACACCCCCCCATCAGCTCCACACACACCCACCAGCCTTTCTCCGTCTGCCAGGACAGGGGGTGGAGTCCAGCCTGGCCAGGAAGACGAGGCGGCAGCTCAGACGCCTCCTCCACCCACGGACTGGGAAGCAGTGGCTGGGAGCAAGCAGGCCCTCGGAGGCTGCCTCCAGGGACGCCCGTTTTGCATTTGGTCAAACAGTTGTTCTGGCAGCCGGCTGGCAAGATCTGTTCATGCCAAGGCCCACTCCTGGGTGATGCCAAACTGGACTGAGAAACATTTCAGTCCAGCAAGCCACCATGCCTGCATGACACAGACCTGAGAGTTATACAAGCATTCAAGTGTAAGTCTGCTCCTTTTCTTGCAATAATATACGGTCCCTTCAATTGATCAGAAAGAAGCTGACTTTTAATTTTATTTTTTAAAGGGACCTGAATTGTTACCGGCCACTCAGCCTGGCATCTGCTCTAGCTTAGATGGCACAACGGCTCCGAAAGACGAAACTCGGTTGTCGAGAGGAACAAAGTCTGCTGGGGGGAAATCTGCAAAGGGAAGAGTCCCGCCTCCCCAACCTTCTTGAGTCCTTTGAGAAAGTGAACAAGCATGGAGACGGCTGTTTACTTGGCAGAGTAATACTCCTGGACAGGGCTTTTTTTGTAGAAAAAGCCCAGCAGGAACTCATTAGCATAATAGGCCACACCCCATGACAGCACAGCTCATTGCCATATTAGGCCACACCCACAAGTTACCAGAAGTGTGGTTATCCAGCCACACCCACCTTTTGCTTCTTATTCTGTTTACCTTGTTTGTTGTCAAAACCCAGGGCCTTTTTGTAGCAGGAACTCCTTTGCATGTTAGGCCACACACCCATAAAGTAGCCAATCCTAGTGAGTTCCTGCTGTTGGGCGTGGCCTATTATGCTAATGAGTTCCTGCTGGGCGTGGCCAACTGGGGAGCCAGCTGGAACTCCGTTCCTGTGCGTTCCTGCCCAAAAATAGCCCTGCACCTGGACTTCCAGAAGGGTTCCGACAGGGTACCTCATCAAAGACTCCCGAGTACACTTAGCGGTCGTCATGGGATAAGAAGGCAGGTCCTTTTATGAATTCAAAACTGTAAGTCAGATAGTTAACATGACGCTCCCTTTCATTCCGGAACCATTCTTACTAGAAATATGGCTGGAACCCTCTCCGCCAAAACAAAACAAAAAAAAGAAGAAATACTCCGTACTAATAATACTAATAGCTGCAGCCGGACTCACCATTGCAGCTAGGCGGAAATCAGACTCAAGCCCTCCTCTAGAGTTATGGTATGACAACCTTTGGATGCAGTTTATTATGGGAAAAATAGCGAATGGAATAGCTAATCAATCAAATGAGGATTATCAAACACCTTTTGTGTGTAAGTGGTTCCCAATAATTCAGTTGCTCTCAGAAAAGGAAGTTTGTTAAGGATAATCTTTGGCTCTGTTTTTGAAGATAACGTCTCTAAAATAAGCACGCTGACCAACGTTACTTACCCGCTTACAAGCAGAGGTAAGCAGTAAGGTACACGACCTGTAATTACATAATGTTTATACCCTGTACTAACTAAATCATATCCTATGTTGTAATGTTCACCACATTATTGAGATAATATCTTGTCTTGATCTGTTAAGCGGTTATGTTATCGACATGTTATAGTATGCTCTAAACTGTTATATTTTGAAATTAAAAAAAAATTGGTTCAACAACAGGAAGCAGAGAGTGGGAATAAATCTGCAGATCTCACAATGGAGGGAAGTGAGCAGCTGGGTCCCACAAGCTTTGTGCTTCGCAATTTAGACCGTGTGTGTGTGTACAAAACTCAAACAATTTAGAAAAAGGCGAAAGAAGAGATTCCCTCTGCCCCTGATTCTCGAAAGAGGAGTCGCCCGATGAAAGTGGTTGGCGGAAGATCCGGAGGAGCCAAGGGAGTTCTCCACAAGGGATGCAGTGGACCGCTGCCCCAAGCCACACCGTAAACCTTCAGGGGCGGGTGTGTTGTCTGCCCGCTCAGCTCGCCAGCCTCCCAAGGGCAGCCACCACCCGAATCAGGAAGCTGGGCAAGGCAGACCCCTGGCTGGGCATTCTTCGACGAGCCAGGCAAGCTAAGCTGGCAGTCCTCAGCAGAAGACACAGACCTTGGTACTGCCTACGAATCAGACGCTGCCCACGGAAGCTGCATTTTACGAAACTCCCGAGATGGTCCTCCAGGCAGGTGCCTCTGGCAGCCACTTCAAAGCAGAGGCAAGAGGCTTCTGCATTATTCTCGAGATCCAAATCGAAACGCACAACCTCAAGTGATTGTCGGACGCAGCTCCCTCCCCCACCCATGCCCTTCTTGTCTACCAAGTCGCTGCCTGGAGCCAGTTTGCCCGGCAAGGCAGGATACAAATTGGAAATAATAGATAACAATAAATAAATAAGTAAGTAATAAGTGCCAAGATAATGGCCGCTCTGTGCCCACGGCAGGCAGCGCCCAGGAGGCCCGGCTGCTTCACGGACCATCCCAGACTCAGACCGACAGGCGGGGCCAAGCCACCCACCAGGGTGTTGAGGCCATTCCCTGTCCTCTACAAGCCGCCTGGCCCTTCCTGGAAAGAAGCTGCCTCCAGGGCCCAGCCCCGGAGAGTCTTGCCACCTGCCCGTGGCATCCATTCCCACAATGCCCAAGTCCTTCTCCTTCCTGTTTCCTTGCATTCCTGGCTGCGGTGGATGGGGCCTGGTGGTGGTGGTGGTGGGAGATCGGGAGGGCAGGGTCACAGGGACTCCTCGTAGATTTGGATCCAGTCAGGAGCAACAGTGCAGGGAGCAGGGCTACCCTGGACTCACCGGCCCACAGGGAATCCTGTCTCCCTGGCGGGTCCAATGGCAACAGTCCCGGCTCCCTCCTCCAGGGGGAGGGCAATTCTGACAGCTGTCTGGCAGAACGGACTGCGCAAGTGGGGCAAGCCGTGGGTGGCCGCTGGGGTCACAGAGGGGCATCACAGCGAGCCGCAGGGAGTGGTGAACCTTTCCTGTTCTGGGGGGAGGAGTGTAAAGGTTTGCCAAACAGGTGTGTCCTGGTCCAGCTGCAGGGACTCATCCGCACTCGTGGCCAAGCCAGATCGACCTCTCCCCCCCACCCTCGACACTGGCTTTGGTGGCCAGGAAGAACAGCCAAGCAGTGCAGACCGAGTGGGAGAGGGCACGGGGTACCTCTGCACGTTCAGCAGTCACAAGAGCCACCCAGCCCTCGCCAGTTCTCACCTTGGGCCGCCTGGTGGTGGTCTGCGGGGCGGCCAGCGGAGGCGGGAGAAGAGGAGAGACAGTCACACAGGGGGAGACAGGAGCAGAGGGAGACAGACAGAGGCGGCGGCAGCAGCAGCAGCAGCAGCAGCAGCAGAGGGAAACCAAGAGAGGAAGAAAGAAGACAGACGAGAGTTGTTAGTGGACAGGCCACCAGCGCCACACGTTTATGCATGCAGGGCCCCCCCCCCCCCCCGCCCCAGCTTTCATCTCAGCCCACCTGGGGCCCCTCCCACCCGCATGCATTTCTCTGGAAGGAGGGGGCAGGAGCAGCACGGAACGGTCTGTTCAGAGAGGGAGGGGCCGACCTCCCCAGGCAGGCTCAAGTGCGGCACATTCTCACTCTCAGAGGGGGTGGGAGGGGCCCTCGGGCCGCAGGTGAGCTCTGGGAACTCCCCGAGGGGGTTCCGAGGCCAGAGAGGTCTGGAGGTGGTGGGCTCCTTCCTGCCTGGGCCCCTTCCCGGGCGGCCTCCCACCCCAGGACTCAGCGGGCCCCCACCCTCTGCTTGACTTCCGAGATGGGAGGAGACGGGGCTCGCTGGGGCCACCCAGGTCAGGCCGGGCCTTGAAACTGCCCCCCCACCTCAAGGCACACACCCAGGGGAGGCAACTAGCAGAGGAAGGCAACGCCCCCACCCCCACCCCGGCAGGAATTCTGCGGCCAGCCAGGGCCAGCTTGGGAGGGCTCCTCTTCAAAGACCACCGGATGTCCTCTGAGCACCGAGGCAAAGACCTGGTGCTCATTCATCAGATTT